TTCTCAGATCTCAAAAGAATGCTCGTTGGGAAAAAATTTTCGTCGAATGAAGAGGTGATCGCCGAAACTGAGGCCTATTTTGAAGCAAAGGACAAATCGTACTACAAAAATGGTATCGAAAAGTTGGAGGATCGCTATAATCAGTGTATCACCCTTGAAGGGAATTATGTTGAATAAAAAAAACGTATTTTGCAAAAAAAATGTGTTTTACTATTTTAGGCCGGGGACTTTTCAATTGACCTGTTATAGGTCTACCTCTATCCCTCCTAACTCCCATTTCTGCCTCTAACATGTCGATTTTATAACTGCCCGGTTGGAATTATATCTTTAGATAAGGGCTTTTGCTTTCTTGAATTCCCGTGAATGTTGAACTTTCTTTAATGTCCGATGCTGACAACATACCCAAATTCTACTTGTCTGCATCTCTTTCTGTAACGCATCAGTTAGTGTAATGTTATTCCTTTTCTTTATTAATGTTCGATGCAATTCCTACCTGACATCTCTTTTCTATGTTTACAATATTCCCTATAACGTCTGTCGTGAGTAAAAGTAGGCGTGCTGTCATTAGCTGCTCTATTCTAGGTAGTAAATTGAAAGAAGAGATTAAAAAGTTTTATTGCGGGCTATGCCAATTTTGAATGTTCCAAATATACAATCTTCATATTGCGTCCTTAGATCCTTGCCTAAGATACGAGGTCTGTGAATTTTTGTATGAAGTGAGCGTTTATTTTGCGACTTTGCAATTACTCTTATTACTGAGTTATTTCTGTGGTGGAAGAAATAAATAAACAAAACCAGAAAATTACCTGTCACTGATCGTAAATGTTTAAAATTGCTTTTGTACTTGCAAGTGTTTTTATAAGTTCCAGTGTTTACACTATTTTTATGTTTACATTTATTCAAAAAACGGAAACGTCGATAAAAGAAAACTCAAACTGCCGACAAATTTAATTTTAATCAATTTTTCACAAATTTCATGTATGTAATTGTTATTTTAAATCGAGCAGATTGTTGGATCCTGTACAACATTCACCATTGGTCCATGAGGTAGATGTTGCCTTTCAAGAGATGCTCTAACACGTCTTTGTTGATCTGACGTCAAAGTTCTATTCCGACTCATCAGATGCAGAAATTCTAACAAAAATTCATTACTTATTTAGATACTAAAGAGTAACGATTGATCATTACATATAAAAAAATGCAAGTGGACACTGGACAGAGAATTAATATGAAACTATTTAAGGTGGAACTGCTGTGAAACTGGATGATGTTAATTCAAAAAAAAAACTTAAAATGGAGAGAGCGTGTCACTCCAATTATAAAAAGCAGCTATTTTTTGCTCCCTTGAAACCAGTATTATTGTTTTAATTTTATCGTATTTAAAGCTACCTTTAACTCCTCCTTGCAGATGCTAATACTGCTATATCATCTGCAAATCTAAGCATACTAATCTTTTGCCTCTATAAATCTATCCCTACAGGTGTACTGTCTTTAATGATGTTGATCGCATCTTCGATGTATAGATTAAAAAGTAGCTGTGACAGTGTGCATCCCTGTCTGACTCCCTTCGTAATACATATACTTCTCTACGTTGCTGCTCCAGCTTTGCAACTGCCCATTGCTCTTTATACAAACTATCACTCTTCCATTTCTGTAACTCATCCCTACATTTTTAAGTATATTTAACATCTTGTACCATTTAACATTGTCAAAAGCCTTTTCTGAATCTATAAATCCTATGTACGTACTCTTTCCTTTTTCTATCGTTTCCTCTATTGTTACCCGTAAAGCTAGAATGGTCTCCCGCGTCCCTCTATTTCTTCTAAACCCAAATTGATCTTCCCCTAATAGTTCTTCCGATTTTTTCTCCACCCTCCTCTGTACGATTTTAGTTAAGGTTTTTAACGCATAGGAAGTTAGCTAATTTTTCTAAATGTCTCGCATCTATCCGCGCGTCTATTTTTAGGTATGGTTACTAATACGTTCCGTTTATAATCCTCTGGGACTTTCCCCGTCTCGTAAATGTGACTAACTAGCTTTAACATACAATCTCTAACCTCTTGTCCTGAGTGTTTTAGAATTTCCGCCTGTATCCCATTTATATATATATGAATACATGAATAATTATATTAATTCCAAAGTTTGTTGAGGTGCTAACATTAAAGGGTATTAAGAATACCTGGGTATAACGATGCTTTAAAAATATTAGAGGAATTAGCGCGGAGTACAATCAACATGCCGATTCACACACTTCTCCATACCAATATGGACCAGTCGTCCACATATTTTACTAGATTCTTAGAATCCTTTATACGGAAGCGTGCATTTTTGCAGGCTGCATTTATACTATACAATTAGATGGAGAAAAAAGCTATGAATTCTCGTTCCGACCATGTCTAAAGCATGAAATGTAGAAAAAACCCACTAGATGGCGATACACTGCATGTACAACTCATTTCAAACAGTAAGAGATACAACCGATCCCTTTACCTGGATGCGTCGTGACAAAATTTAAAATTTAATAATATTTTACATCGTTCAAACTATTTCTGTCATGCTCACGCCTAGTGGGTATTCTTTCTATTCGCGCAGGTTTCCTGAGTCATAACTGTAACCGTTTGAAACGAGTTGCACTCGGATACTGTATAAACTGGTTTTTAGGAGCATCATTAGTTTGGTTAGTACAAATTGTAGTGTTCAGCACCAACTGCTATACCATATCATAGTGCTATATTTAACGATAGTGTTTGTAGTTTTCAGCAAAATATTTAAATCCCGTTCCTATATAGAACATAATTTTGGTACATCCTACGGCAATACCTGTACAATAGCATCTAATATAACTATTAACAGTTAGCTCCATGAAATTTATCAGCTGCCACAGTTCAATAATATCCATCAAGAATTCAGACACAATATTCTTCACTTTCGTACAATTTCAGCTGTTTTAGTTTAATTTTAATGTTTTTGTAGTCGTTAGAGATACATTTGCTTATTATTATTCAACCTATATTATTTTATTATATTGGAATTTTGCATAATTTCAAGCGCATACGAGGCAGTTAAGTATCTCTTGACTGTTCTTTTACAAACAATAATAGGCCAATTTGTTAATTTTATTATCGATGCTTTTCAATCGTATGCAGGTTACAGGAATTTCATAACTCGAGGCAGAATCATACCTTGTTGGATTTTCCCCTTATTGGCTTCTGGCTCGTATTCTCTTGTTGCTTACCAGGTATTGGTGGTGGCACCAGAACAATTTTCGATTTTGTCACATAATTTAGAGTTGGTTACATTTTGTCCTTTTTCTTGTTATCTTGCGTTGTAAATTCATATTTTCTCCGTTGTGTCTGTACTTGTAATCGGTTATTTCATAGTTAATAATTCATAAAGTCTTGTATACCTACAGTGTTTTATGTCGAGTTTCATTCGCTCCGTTTTGAGAAAATTCTGTTCGTGATTTTACGGCAAACAGTAGCTATATATATATTTTTTCAGTGTGCGAATTGGTTAATTTTTACCATTTCGCATCTTAACTATATACATATAGAAAGAGATGTACTTATTCTTACCCTGTCTGTTTTGTTTATCTAGATTGACGCAACTGTAATGAGCGGTGAATTCATCATAAACTATCAGAACCATTCGGTATACCAATGGCTTGCCATCATATGGGTGATTCACACTTATAATCGCTTCTCTATAATCAGGTCGAACCCATGTTGCTTTACCTTCTCTTCTGGACACTACGCCGGTGGTTAAATTTTTTTGTGTGTAAACCACATTCATGGTGTTAGTACTTGTTTCGGTAAAATATAAGCTCAAGCAATCGAGGTTGCTGCTGTATGAAGCAATAGGGTACCATGGAGCCCCATTTCCTGCAAACTGAAAAAGAAAAATTTGATGAAGTAGAATATACAATAGTGTTTTGTTTTTGAAGTGAAACTTCTTTACGCTAGGTAGGGTAAGTTCGTTTCATGCGAGCTGCTATGTAACGAAATCATGCAACGGATGTTCTCCCTCTACTCGGCCACGTAGTCGAGTTCGTAGTGGGGATCGCTTGAGTCGTGAGCGCGCTTCAATGCAACGTTTGTTACAGGCAACTTCGGCATGTATAGAGTAAAATTTAAATTCATAGTGTACAAATAATACCATTAAACCAATTCCTTAACCCCTATCATTGTATGTTTGAAGAAGTTTCACTTCAGTAGCGCGTTGTATAATTACATGTTGTATTTTTTTAAATTTTACAATACAATTAACTTACCCGCCGCAAATTGAACCATTGTGCCACGCTTAGGTTAATTCTGTCTCGATCTTCACACTGGCCTCGCGAGGTGTACTGTGAGTAAGAAAATGAAATTAATGTAATAAAAACAAATGCTAAACGTAGATTAAACATTTTTACTGCTTTTAACTTGNTCATTAAAATTACTTTTTCATACAGTACCTGTCAAAAGTTTTGTTCAATCATGAATAGTAGTGCGAGTCGAAAACAAGCGTTAAAGCCTTTAATATATCTTCAGATATAAATAAACATCCCGTTGATATTTTCAGTAGTAAATGGTACCAATAACAGCGCATTTGAGCAATGCAATTGTACTGGATAAAATGGTCAAATTCACCGTGGAGTACTGTACGGATTATATACTCCTCACTGGTTAAGCGTTTGGCAGAGAGTTGTCTCCTTCCTTTTCTGGCCTAGAGCTGTTCTTTTCTACTTTGCTCCGGTCAAATTGAAGGTCACATCTAAAGTAAACGAAGTATATCAATGTATAATATGTACCTATAACAAGCAAAGAGTTGGACATGAGGTCACAACGTTGTTTAGAATATGGACAGATTTTAAGGTGTATAGCCTGATAGGAACAAGGAGTAGATGCTGAAGGTGAATGTGCCCTACTTTTTTTTAATTACGTCATAGAGATAATGCTTTTCAGAATATTTAATTAGGTATATTCCTAAAAGGCAGGTACATGAGTTGGAACAAAATGTGTAGCGGACAGGGATGAAGTAAAAAAAAAATTACTGCATTCATTCGGAATATGAATGGGCATTATCAAATTTTCCGCACTTTCCATTGTAGAGCCTCCGCCCTGAGCCTATGACCTCCCATTAAAAAAGTTGCTTGACCTTCAAGTAACTTCGAATGTCAAAGTTACAGCTCAGTTAGACGTAAACAGAAAAATTTACTTTACTTTTTGACAAATGAACTGTAGTAAAGACAATGTATTATTATTTGTTCGATATTCATATGTTTTAGAAAATAACTTTTAAAGCCCTTTACTGATGAGGGAATTACGAAACACGTCACTAATCGATATCGGCCGTGCTTATTATATCTCCAAGGGATGTATCAAAATATTGGATAGGATAGGTATACTCGCATAGTGCAAATTTCCGGTAAAGAAGTGCAAACCGGAATGCGTGCATAGTTTTTTCAAGCAAATCTGTTGCAAATTTGTGAGTACCCTTCACAATTTTTATCGTCCCCATTTCGAATGAAATTTCTGAAACGTACAAGTAAATATATTTTATTTTATTCTGTCTAGCTGTTTAGATAAGCATTTCTTATATAGGGACAACCTCTATCTAAGCAGCAATACCAGCATGCAAAGTCTACAAAGACTACAAAACAGAGCTATGAGAATAATACTGAAATGCAGTAGATATACAAATATAGAAACAGTGCTCAACCAATTAGGATGGCTAAAAATAAAGGACCATGCGGAATACTTAACATCAGTATTTATTCATAAAATCAAACTAAAATTAATGCCAAAGTATTTTGACTGTATGCTGCTGCAGTTTTTGGAAAAGCGCAACCATAGTACACGTAAAAATTCAAATTTTATGTTACCACATGTCACTAATAAGAAGACGTCAAATTCAATCTTTTTAAGGGGGATAAAAAAGTATAATGAACTGGATAATAGGCTTAAAGAATGTAGTTTGATGCAGATCAACAAACAACTTAGAATTAATTACTTAAATAGAGACTAGTTAATAGAGTTAGAGTAGGTTAGTCAAATTTATATAGTATTTTTTATTATATATTATTTTACATTATTTTTTTGAAATAATTAATCTTAAAGATAGTTTGCATAGCTATTGGTTAAAATAAAGTTATTATTATTATTAGTAAATCAGCTCCATTTATGTGTTGAATAAGTACGAAAGTAAATTATTGATGGTCCATGTCGCCTTTACAATTGGGATAAATGAACCACATTCATTCCGAAAAATGAACCTTTTATACTAATTTCATACGATTTTTTAATTGCAACTGTGGCGACCCGCCTGTCTTGCGCCAGTTCGCGCCGCACACCCCACAGGTTTTCAGATGCCTAAAGCTTTTCTGATAAATCCAGGCGTGCTCTCGTAACGAAACATCTTTTCTCTCTTTTCTTTAGACAACGAGATATCTACACAACTGTCTTATTCCGACATGTCGACCATATATAAACGTAAACAAAGTTGCTCAAGAGATAATGGTCTGATCATTAACTTAATCTTGCCGTTGAAGTCATAAATCAGGATACGGTGGGAGTCAATGAGCCTTAGAGGCATTTCGGTATTTCTGAGCTAAGGCTGCTAAAAAAAAAGTTAAATGGAAATTTTAATAAAAACCGCCTCTTTAGGACATCCATTAACATAATGAAGGAAAAACTACAGAATGAACAAAAAATTAAAACAAGTGTAGTAATGACGAAGACTTTAAGGAAATTAAAGCAGAAGGAAAGATTGAAACAAAGGGATAGTTTCTCAAAGAGAGTCAAATGAGCGAGAACCTGTTTCAAATGATAGCGATTCTGGTGAGTCCTAGAATGAAAATGAATGCATCGATTACTCTGCCAAAACAAAAATTCATTATTTAATAAGTTGTATCCATTGTGACAGTTGGTTGCACGAGTCTTTATAAAACACGATGATACTTACGTGTGAAAAATGTGACAAATAAATATCGTCAACCAGTTTAACTTACAAGGAGACGGCAAGGGTGTGGGGTCCTCAAATCGAACAGAAGTTCCGCGTGTAGTTAGCACTCAGTGAGTGTATTCATATACTCAAACCCTAGAGCGCACTACTTAGCCATTACCGAGAAAAAAAATCCTAAAGCTTGAAAAAAAATTTTTTCTTTTTTGTATTAAAATTTAATAAATCGTTATAAACAATTTCTTTTATACATTATTGAATCGCGAATTTAATAATTTCTAACTTTTTAACGATTAGAACTTATAAATGACGGAGGAATGCAAATAGAATAAATACAAAAGCCACAGTGCTTTTAAACATTTTTTAAAAAATAATATATTGTTAAATACAATGAATATTTATGATAAAATGTTTATAGCATTAGCAATTTTTTCAAGTATTCATCTTTAGGAATACACAAACCTGGATGATATTTAACATAAAACAAGAAAAACACAAATTTTGTCGACAACTTTCACAACAAATAAATACAGCTTTTTTACAGGAGCACAGCGTTTTTAGAATTTCCTCTGAAAAACAAACTTCTTTTACGTTCATAAATATTTCTCGATGTTCAGATAATTTTGACGCATACCAGGCATATTTGATCATTTTTTAATACAATCTTTAGGAGAGTTAATTTCCAGATTTTCTTCAATTAATTGCGAACAATTTTGTATTTTTTTAATTAAATTTTTGACTTGTTTGTAAAAGTAAACATCGCACTGTTGTATTGATGGAGTACACTTTGGAGGTATTACTTTGACAGTACAAGTAGACATTTTCTGATCATCTTGAAAATTTTCATCATACATTTCAAGCCTCGTTTATCCTCCCCAAGAATCGATGAGACGAAGAAATTTTGTAGTGAGTTTTCCGGATTTCGATGTGACGACAACATTTTTATATTTTTTCATGTACTCATCAACCTGCTTCTGAAACTTCTACTATAGTATATGAATACACTCACCAAGTGCTAACTTCACGCGGAACCTGCGTTCGATTTGAGGACCCCACACCCTTACCGCCTCCTTGTTAGCAAGTTTTAATATATTTGTTATTATTTCCATATAACTACATTACTGCTATATCGAGGTGGTTTATTTTACCCATATGCACCGGCCCATCTCTCCCCATATATTTACATTACGTTTATATAGACTACAAGAAAAGTTTCATTCTATTCTATAATTGTTTTTTACATTTTCACGAAATAATGTTCAAACTAAACAATCTGCCCATCTCTTCCGCAATTACCTAATTAATCATTAAGGACGTATCAGATTAAATGAGCAAGACCGCGACTTAACACCCATGACCGAGACCAAGACTATTTCAGAAAGATCAATACCAATACCAAGACTAGAAGTGTTTGAGCAGGATTAAGACCAACACCGAATAATCAAGACCAAGATCAATACTAAGACTGGGACAGTCTTGGCTTTGGTTTTGCTTTACTCATCAGTAGTCATACAGGGTGCTCCATTTCACTAGTTACGATATATAACTCTACGCTCTACAGTCTTCTTCTTTCTTCTTTGTCTTTCATTTCAGCTGAATCACTATTGTCGATAAGGCAACCGTACGTTGTTTGCAAGGTCGACCCGTGCCATTTTTCATACCTTTTCTTGATCTGTGATGTCGCTAAAATATACGATATTTGAAGCCCACGCATTTATTTTGATAATAATTCATTTTGATACATTTGTTCTATAAATAATAAGTCTGGGCGATTACCTCTCTCCGAACTAATCTTTAGTAAGTTTTCAATGCATCACCACTGCGGGTGATTCAGTTACGAAGGAAATAATGAATAGATAAAGATCACGAAAAATTAATGTTTCTTAAGGGAGATGTGATAATTATTATTTTATTCATAGTAAATTCGGGTTTGTGGAGCAAAACTGGCAGATAAAAAACGAATGATGAACAACATTAGGTTTATTTAGTACAAAAAAAGTTTCAACAAAACAAAACAATTTATAAGAAATGTGTTACTTCGATATTAGAAAATATTTCTAAAAGTTTTCTTTCGTATAAACAACTTTACTCTTACTGAGTATCTATCTGTTTGGTGTTATGACAGATTCATACTTAGGGAGACCCTCCCTACTACGTATTAGACCGGGTCAAAACGACACAGGTTGAAATGTAGCATTGCACCTTATGTTCTTTAGTGAGGTTAAAATATACCTATGTCTTTATTATTTATGAATCTGGAATTATTACAGATTTTAGGACAGACGCAGGGTGCCCTATTGGTTTCAAATCACTTAAGAACAAATTATTAATGCACCACATTTCTACTATGTCTATCGTTTTCATAGAACGAAAGTAAATAAAACAAAAAATTAATCTGAGCTCAGTTGCCGCCAGCCTAATGACTTTATACCATCTGCCGACAGTAACGACAGGTTACTATGCTAACCTTATTGTATTA